CCAATTTTGAAAGGCACGACGGCCATTGGCCGCGGTGCCGCGGCTTATGTCTAGCCCTGCATTCCCTCCCCTGAGTCTAATTTCCTCCACATTAGCCAGGGTAAGGGAGCAGGGTCTGTCATTGATTCTGATAGCCCCACACTGGCCATCCAGACACTGGGTGGCAGAGATAGTTCAACTGCTGAAGGGTCAGCCGTGGCCCCTCCCACCACGCCGGGATCTCCTGTCACAGGCGAGAGGGGAAATCTACCATCCCCACCCGGACAACATAGCTCTTTGGGCTTGGCCCGTGAGAGGTGGAACCTGAACGCTGCGGGGCTGCCCCCACCGGTCATCGACACTATACAGAGTGCCAGGGCTTTTTCCACTCGCTCACTTTACAGCAGGAAATGTCGAGTATTTGAGGATTGGTGTGGGCTGAGGCCGACGATTCCTTTTCAGTGTTCAGTGGTGGAAATCCTCTGTTTTCTGCAGGATTTGTTGGAAAAAGGAAAAGCCTTCTCCACAATTAAAGTGTATCTGGCTGCGATTTCAGCTTGTCATGTGGGCTTTGGTGAAAAGTCGGCTGGACAGCACCCCCTGATGAAGGGTGCCCGCCGGAAACGCCCGGTTTCTAAGCCATCAGTCCCATTGTGGGATCTGTCTCTGGTGCTGGGCGCCATGTCTCATCACCCTTTTGAGCCTTTGGACGGGGTGGGGTTGAAATGTCTCTCTCTTAAGACAGCGCTGCTTTTAGCTCTGACTACAGCAAAGCGAGTGAGCGATTTGCAGGCCCTGTCTGTCCGCTCTTCTTGTTTGCAGTTTGGTCCGGGACTTACCAAAGTGTGCCTGCGTCCTAATCCTGCTTTTGTGCCTAAGGTTGGGACTCGACCTACAGGTGCTCTACAGTGGAGCTGACAGCCTTCCACCCCCCTCCTTTTTCCTCTGCTGAGGAACACAAGCTAAACACATTGTGTCCAGTTCGGGCCCTACATGTGTATATAAACAGGACAGCAGGCTTCAGGAAGCACAATCAGTTGTTTGTGTCCTGGGCTCCCCCCCGGAGGGGCAAGCCGCTGTCCCGTCAGAGGCTCTCTCACTGGATTGTACAGGCTATTTCTTTAGCTTATACATGCAGGGGCTCTCAGCCTCCCGAGGGCTTGAGGGCCCATTCTACCAGAAGCATGGCCACATCTTGGGCCTTGTTCAAAGGGGTGTCAGTCCAGGATATTTGTCATGCAGCAAGCTGGGCTACACCGCACACGTTTGTGCGTTTTTACAGGCTGGATGTCTCAGGACAGGCTAACGCTGCAGAACCAATCTGAGAAATCAGTTTTCTGCACGTCTTTATAGTTTGCAGTCTGGGGATATTGCGGTGCAATCCGGGAGCGGTCCATATCTCCCATAGTGAAACACCGAGCGAAGTTAGAAAAAGAACTTTGGGTTACTTGACGTAATCCCTGGTTCTTTGATAACAGAGTGAGGTGTTTCACCATCACTTCCGGTCTTGCGCAGGTACGGGAAGAAATCCTTTTAGAATGAGCCGTCAGGGAGGTAGACCGCATTAATAGGGCAGGGGCGGAGCCTGCTCGCCGGTCGACCTGTCCATCACAGACAGACGTGGTGTCATTGGAGCTTCCGTAGTTGGTCACACCCAAAGCGATTCCCATAGTGAAAAACCTCACTCTGTTATCAAAGAACCAGGGATTACGTCAAGTAACCCAAAGATTTCATGCATGCATAAATTATTAGGGTATTAGGTGATACATTTTCTATAGAGGTCATTGTTATCACTGTACTATGGAGCAGAATTCCTGCCACCTTGAAATGCAAAGACGACTTAAGTATGTGCGTATGGCAAGCCGTTTTAACATTTAATCAAGTCACACTCCTATCCGTAATTACATTTTAGATATACATAATATCATTTCTCCTAGTCAAAATTATATTCCTGCTAGTCAGAATGGCAATTACGGATATCCACAATTGCATTCTTAATAGTAGAAAATGTATTTCAAGATATCTAAAACTTTATTTTCCTAGTCACAATTATATTTAAGATATCTTTAAATCTTTACAAAAGTATAAGTGGCCATTTTGACATTTAATGGCTAGACTGGATATGTATTGCAGATATCCGTAATTCAATTCTTCCTAGTCAAAAAGAGCATTTCAGATATCCACAATGACATTCTTCCTATCCACCATTGTCATTTCAGATATCCACAACGTCATTCTTCCTAGGAGAAATTACGTTCCTTTTGCCATTCATGTCTATTGGGCTTTCAATTTCAAATATCCACAGTTATATTTCAGATATCCAGAATAATCATTCTGGATATCTGCAATTCAATTCTTACTGGGAAAAACTCCCATTTCAGATATCTACAATCCAATTGTTACTAGTCATAATTTTAATTTCAGATATCCAAAAGGAAAAAACATTCCAGATATATATAATGTAATTTTGTCATTGGGTGCATTCGACTTCCTTACAGCGCTGGCTTAAAGCAACGCATTCTGATCCTGACACAATGCATTACCCAGCTGCACAAACGGGACCCAGATAGCATGCATAGTCGGGCCGATTCTGGCTCAGTGTCGGCACGGTCAGCTTACTGTCGATGCGGTAGAGACACAGTGCCGAGCCCGGCAGCCGATTCTGGCTGACCCACGACTCTGTTCATGTGGGCCGGCGTCGGCTGAGCGCCGTTCTCTGTTTGCTTCTGTTGTCAGCGAATCTAGTTTTGCTACATTTTCTCTTTTCTGAACGGTTGGCAATCAGTTTTATACATGCCTCGGCATCTGCCTAGGTGAAATATGTATCAGACTTCCCATTCTTTATAGGTTCTTTTAAATCCAGCGCCTTTGTGCTTCCCGTTAATACCATTGTATCGATGTGACCTTGCTCATGAACTTCAGGAGGTAAGCAAGGGGTTCCTGATCAGTGAAAAGCATTTATTTCTAAGGCTACGTTCACACTGCCATGCTGAAGTGACTCAAATCGGATTTTTTGCCTTAATGTGACACAGATCTGATCTTTTCAGGGCTGTGTGGACACGCAAATCTGATCTTTTCAAATCGGATTTGTGCGACTTTCATATGTGATACTAAATCGGATACGTATCCGATTCGCGGCCATGCGACTTGAATGTGACGCTCAGATCGGAATTCAGTTTCACCAAGTTCGTCAGTTTTATAGAAGTAGCCCTAGATAATACAACATTAAATGTGTCTAAACACGGAGATAACTTTGTTAAGATTGATAATTGCATTCCGTTGGTTGTGAACATTCTGCAGTCCCAAGGCAAAGTTTATGTTGTCTTTAAGGAATATCAGGAGAAGAAATCATTTTATGAGTATCCTATAAATTCGTGTGAACTTGGGATCTATGTGGTAGACAATCTATCATTGACTCTCAAAACAGCTGAACTTAATGTAGATAAATATGTCAGATTGCCATACAAAGGCAAATTTGTTGCAGTGCCCCTCCTGCATTTGAGCAGGTGGAATTCTGGCAACAACTAAGGTTCCATCTACAAGACTTCCATATGAATGTGTGTAGTTCATGACAAACTAAAATTTGGGGGTTGTAATTTGAAGACACTCCAAATTATGTAGAGTTTATGCTGGTTTGTTAAGATTTGTAGTGCATTGATATTTGCTGTTAGGCTACAAGGGAAGCTTTTGTGTTTTATTTATTGTACACTCAGTGAAAAAAAAGTTAAGTACCCAGAAGTAATGGTCTGATTTGGATGTAATTTGGTACACGGGACCAGCAGTGTTCTGACGTCTGTGTGATCTGATATTATAATCATTGCAACACAATCACATGACCTTTCACTACATCCAGATTCATTTCCACCACTCCGTCTGGGTGCTTAACTTTTTCTGTCACTGAGTATATTTTGTTTATTATCAACAGCTATGTTCAAAATCGTGGAGTTTAAGGAGACAAATGAGGTAGAATTGGTCCCTGGTGTGTGGGTGAGAGATGGTGTCTGCCACTGGCCCCCCTATAAAGGAAAGCAGTTGGATTCAGCAATTAAGCATCAGGTAACTCCAGACCACAGCTGGATACAGTGGGAAGTCAGAGTGATGTTTATAACAGAGTTATGAGGAAGGGAGACGAAAATTACGGGAAGCTGAACAGTGTTCAGACCTCCAGTCAGAAGCTGAAGAGCCTGGGAAAAAGAAAAGGCGAAAAATGTATGTATACGTCTATTTATGTTTCTTAATTTTTTAATTGCTTCAAGAAAAAATGGTTTATTTCAAATGTTTTATAATGTTGATGTTCAAAATGTTTTTTTTTTTCTTAAGGCCAAGTAGCAGACTTATAGATGCCGCTAATGGTGCTTCAAGTGAGAGTGAAGAAGAAGCAGGACTGCAGCAGAGTGACAGACGTTTACCGGAGGCCCCACCAATCAGCCAAGTAAAAATTTTAACACCCTTGGAAAATGCTAATACTGGAAGTCGCAGTACTTTTCCCTGGCTGAAGAATCCACCCCTCCCTCTGGAAACGATGTGGCAACCTATAGATGCCCTACGTGGAGAGCATGACCTAAACAAAAGTCAGTAACAGGAGTTTAGTGACCAGTACAAGACCCTGTATGGCTCGGCACTTCCCATATGTAGATGCATTTCCCCCTGCTTTTCTGTTTATTTTCTTAAGCAGATTTTTTTGATTATCCAGAAGTATACATTGAAGAATTTCCACCAGTTCATTATGTCACTTAAGTTATGGAATTGTCATTCCCCCTTGTGCTTTGTTTTTCTGCAGACTTGTTTTCCCCACCACCATCTCATCCAGAGCCTTCAAAAGTTCAGAAGTCCTGGATACCATCTGAAGGTAATATTCATATACAGTATGAGCAATTTCGTCATTCATGAGTGTTACTTCTCAAAATGATTAGTGTTATCTGCAAACTAAAATTTGATGTATAGAATAGCATAATTAGCCAGTGTTGCATTAGAAAGAGCATTTATTGTGCTGTGACGTTACCTTTTCATTTGTCATCACTAACGCTGTGTAACAGGGCCATTGTTTTTGCCTTTAGTCAATCAGTTTCACCAAGACCATGCAAAACCTTGGACACCATCACAGCTGCAAAGGACTCCTGCTGAAGGCAAGTAACACGTGAGCAATTTCCTATTAGAAATGAAAGTTTTTTAAGGGTGGGCATTGTCAGCAAAAATATATTAGTATTTCTACATTGGTTGCCATTTCTACACTGCTTTGGTACTCATTCCTGAACCTTGTTCTGAGTATAAATATAACACTAATGGGTATTCTCTGCAGTACACACTTTTCTAAGTGCTGGATTTAATTCTGAAAGTATAGAAATTAGGGCTGTTTTCGACTAAGGATTTTCATAGTCGAATCTGATCTGATTCGTTCGATTTTGCCGTAGTCGACTGATAGTCGAACCTTTTTTTTTTTTTTAGATAGCAGCTAGATTTTTTCCATTTCAAACAAAAGAGTTAAAAAAAACTAAAAGAAAAACATGG